CTGTTTATTTAGATTGCTTATTTCGGCAGACTTGTACTTGCTTTGTACACCATTCTTTGTTGTTTTAGGACCGCCCCCATTATTTCAGTTGTATATTATAGTTGTTTCTTATCCCATTTGTACAGTCTTCTGATGAAGTCCACTGTGTGGACGAAAGCTAGAGAATAAATTATATATTGTTAGTCTCAAAAGTGCTGCTGTTTCTTACTTTATACTTTCTATAATTTAGATTAAATTTCAGAAAATGAAAATAACAATAATTTACCCACCACATTGAATTCAAAAAATGGATGAAAACACCTTTTTTACGAAAAACCCATACTGCATACTACAATCCAAAGCAGCCTTGATTACGCAGTGTGTATTGCGGTATTATGCAGCCATTTTGTTTTGTCGGGTATTTACCAGTTCTATTCGACTGGTCGTCTTCGTTAAACCCCCATTCCTACCGGCAAGATTTCTTGTTATTCATCATAATAACGTTTTCTTCTTAGAATTGATGATCTATTTTTGATCTACTATATAGTCCCTTTATGAGGCTTGCATTTCTATTTCTACTGATTTTTAAATATGTTAACAGTGAAGATTTATAAATGTAATACGAAATTGCTAATTTAACTGAATTTAGAGATTCCTAAACATGAAAAAAAAAAAATGTAAAATAAGACTGAAATTTAATTTTTTTTTTTTCAAATTATTTTGTGTGTGTGTGTGTGTGTGTTCCTCCACACAAAAAATAAATGCGGATGGATTTTTCATGTTTTATTTTGCGATAGGTCTGCGAAGAAATATAGTAGGCGCCGAAAACATTAGCCTATCCAATACTGCTAGGCGCGCTAGGCCTATCTCGATTTAGTTTCTGTTATCACACATAAAAACGGCCGACATTATATTTTCCGTTGAGCATAGTATTGACACTTGTTAAGTATAATATTTCATAGGAATTATTTTAAATCTGTTTAAAAAGTGATTCTGACCGAGATTTTGAAAATTAAACAAATATCTCAGGCCTACTTATTGAAATGTTGCCGGGAATGGGGCTTTTTAAGTAGGAGTTTACCAGTACTGCTGCGCATGTGGACGTGGTTTAACGAAGAACCACCATTCGAATACGGCCATTAATTTGGCGGGTCACTTACCAAATTTAATAAAATAGAATAAGTTAATGGACTATTATTCTCTTGACTTAAGTATTTACTTGGAAATTGATAATTAAATAATGAGATATTAAGAAATTATAAACAAAAGTGAATTATTACTTATTTTCTTTTTTAAGTCATTGAGTATAGTTTTACTTGACTTTCGTGTCACCCAGTTTTTTGTTTCTTTTTTTGTTTTGTTTCTCTTTTGTTCTATGTTTACCATGTTTCGTCAATAGTGTTCAAGCAATTAATTATACATGTTAAACTAGCGCACCGAGAACATTGCTCATGAAAATGAAAAAAAAAGGACATTGCGTTATTAATGCAGAAAATAGTTACCAAACAACGTTATAGATAAATGAAGTTCATGTTCAAGTTATTGTCATATACAAAGTAAATGAAATTTGTTTTTGCAAGGTTCATAATAAAAACAATGACATACTAAAATACAATACAAAGGATACAATATAAAATAAGTTAACCTATGCGAAAATGACATAAAACAATATAAAAACCGATAAACATTGCAAAAATTGCAATATAGTCGAGTAAAAATATATAAAAGTGCAATACACTTACATACTAGGATAAAATACAAAATATCTCAAGTTACAGTATCTTTTAAATTGCTTATTGTATTACCTGATTGCACACGGAAAAAATGATTTTTTATAATGCTCAGTGTTCTTAATTGATGAAATAATTCTACCCAATTTACTGAATTTAATATGACTAAACAGATGATGGGACTTGTCATTAATTATACATTTTGTTTTTTCTCTATAGCCTTATCACAGATGTCACAGATAGACGGAATGTCTGTGCCTAGTACTTTCCTAGCCATAGTAATAATCCTCTATAATTTATTTGCATTATTTTTAGATAAACTATTTAGCTATACAATACAACAAACGGTTATTATGGACTGTATCATAGCCTGGTGAAATAGGAACAATGTATCCTTCTTAAAAAAGTACATTCGTTGGTTTGCTTTCGCATATAAAGTTTCCCGGTGTTAGCATTCCATGTTAGTTTTTCGTCTATCCTTGGTCTATCTAAACACCTAAGTATTTATGTTCACTAGTGGTGCAGACGTTTTGATTTTTCGAAAGTCGAATACAATTTCCTTAGTTTTTTTCAATGTATGTTGCAAGTATTTTTTAAATACTTCTATAATATTTTTTTATATTTTTTTTTTTTGGGATTAATCATAGGTAAAGCAACCCCCACAGCCGACTAACGACCCTTAAACTAATGACACGTCCCGCATAAATTAATCACCCAGGTAATTTTAAAGATGCCTCCAATTCGGCGGGTTTTTGGCCCTAATATCAACACTAAAAATGTTTCTCGGCCCTTCAAACAAATTAAGTATTTTTAAGGATTTAGCCTACACTTTCAAATCAAAAGATGCAAACAAGATTATTATTATTGTTATTATTATTATTATTATTATTATTATTATTATTATTATTATTATTATTATTATTATTATTATTATTATTATTATTATTATTTTTATTATTATTATTATTATATTACTATTCATTTATTTACTTAGTTATATTATTTCATTATTTATTTATATATTTACTTATTTATTTATTTATTTACTAATTTATTTATTTATTCATTATTTTTTAATAATATACCTGTAGGCCTACACCAATTTCCCTTTATTAATGCAGACATAGTTACCAATCAACGTTATAGATAAATGAATGTATGTTATTTTTTTTTTTTGTATTTTTTAATACTCCTATGATTTTTTTTTATTGGGATTAATTATATTTAAAGCGACCCCCACAGCTGACAAACGACCTTTAAACTAATGACACGTCCCTCATAAATTAATCACCCAGATAATTTTAAAGATGTTTCCAATTCGGCGGATCTTTGGCCCCTGAGATCAACACTAAAAATATTTCAGCCCTTCAAATAAATTACTACGGCATTAGTATTTCAAAGAATTAGCATATGCATTCAAAAAAAGCAAACATGATTATAGAGACTGTTTCATTATTATTATTGTTGTTGTTGTTTTTATAATAATAATAATAATAATAATAATAATAATAATAATAATAATAATAATTATTATTATTATTATTATTATTATTATCATTATTATTATTATTAATAATAGGCCTATTATTATTATTATTATTTATTTACTTTAGTTATATTATTTATTTATTTTACTTATTACTTGCTTCTTACTTGCTTACTTACTTACTTACTTACTTACTTACTTACATACTTACTTACTTACTTACTTACTTACTTACATACATAATTACTTACTTACTTACTTATTTTTTTTTAATTATCTTTTTAATATTATATACCTGTAGGCCAATACCAATTTCCCTTTATTATAACCGAACTTTTAGCGGATTTTAATTTTCGAGGATTGAGAGTATAATTTTCTTCATCACGAATTGACGAAGAGGGCGGTTTGCATTGTTGTGATTTTTTGCGGTATTTATAAAACTTTTAGTATCATTAAACTTAACCTAATGTAGGCCCTAGGTTTCCCAGTTTTTTTTATGTTATTAAAAGTAATCCTTGTAACTGAAGTCAGAGTAGGTATAGGCCTAGCCTAGTGGTTGTGATTGTATGTTTCAGCCTGTAAATACCCTGACCACCGACCTAGGCCTAGACCTAGGCCTAGCTAGATTATAGGCCTAGGCCTTTCCTAGTAGTAGTACTAGGCATAGCCTAGGCCCTAGGCCCCTTTAGAATTACTACTTCTAGGGTCTAGGCTAGGCTATTCGAAAGGATCTAGCCTAGGCCTGCTATGCTAGCCCGAGGCCTACAGCCCTACTTGTAGTACTACTCTAAGGCCTAGACATAGGCCTAGGCCCTAACTCTAAGGCCTAGGCCTACTACCTAGAGGAAGATAGCCTAGTAAGCCTGCCTACTAGGCTAGGGGCCTAGGCCTAGCTAGCTAGCATTTTGAGGGTATATGATATTAACGGTTCGGCTGTGAACAAGTTCGGCCGCGATATATTTGTATGAAACGCCAAGTAGGCGCAAAGCTGTGTATTAAACACAGCCTAACTCGGGGGTCCTAAGTTGGAAAAAAATCTCATCCGGCAGATTTGGTTAAATTAGATTTGTTAACGTTAATTTTATTTTGCTGCACATGGGGATACCCATCGGCACTGATTCCTGTGAGAGAATTGAATGAAGTAGTAAAATTTTAATGTATGCAGATATTATGAATTTGTGATCGGAGATTTTCGCTTGCGTGACCCCCCCCCGATTTAGGGGAGACCCCTTGCCTTCCTGGATACTTTGAACTCCTGCTGATACCATTCTCCCTTTGCTATTAGCATACCAACGTGTGTACCAACACCACAATAGCTTAACAACAAAAATATTAATTTAAAATTCAGAGGAATTATCTAAATTTTCAGGTTATATTACGGTACTTCAAACGGACATGAGAATGGTCCAACATGTTACGTTGTGGAAGCAGGCTTCGCAAGTTAATGGTTTGTTCCAGCTATTTCATAGTTTGAAAAAAGACTGCATTTTGAATCAACTTAAACAAAATTTGCTATCACTGCCAAACTGCACATTTACAAACATCAGAAATGTACATAGACAGTCAAAGATTCCTCAGGTAATTCAGTTTCATATTTATGCTTTTTCATTGCATTAATTAAATGATTAAATTGCCACAAATTAATAGTTTGTACTGTACAAATAAATTTGTCTTATTGTTTCAATTTCAAAAAATGTAGTAAAATATTTATCAAAAGACAATAACTTGCCTTTGATTTGTTTACAGTGACATATATGTGTGCAATTTCAAGTGCTCCTAACTACCAAGCCACAATAGCTTATATAAAAGATACTTAATCAGTATTATAAGTCAATCGTGACGTCATCACTGTAACTTCCAATGTTATTTGCCTATTCCCCAGCGTCCACTAATTTTTCTATTAGTGGACACTTGGCTTGATTTTTTTTAGGTTTGTGTGCAAAAAAATTTCCTCATTATTTTGTCACAGCGAATAAGTTGCGCACCGCGATAAAAATTGAATTGTATTGAAAATTACTTTCGTAAAACAAGCTTAATTAGAACCAGAAGAAAGTTACTTCAAATTAATTATTAAGTATGAACAATTAAGGAATTCATAGAATCAATGGACCCTCATAAACACTACAGACTGAACGTTTAATAGGAATATTCTAGACCTATTTTAAAGACTCAAGGAACAAATTTAGATGTAGGCCTACCGCCAGGCAGGAGGCCGCCTGAGCCGCCTCCTACTACTACAGGCCGTAGCCTAGCCTAATTATGAAATCATCGCATGATTTTACCTGTCTGCATACACCGACCAAAAAGGACGTCAGTGACTGTATTCTCTCTCGAATGCTGAAATGTTATTTCTTTGACGAAAGTCTATCAAAATAGCATTACAAACAAGTTCTTTCTAACACAATAGTTATTCATCGTATCCGTAATGTACTGCTGATGTGTAGTTAATTAAACCATTAAACGCGTATTGGAGCAAAAATCAGCATAGGCACAGCTAAATGTAAATACGCACACGTATACTGATCATATCACTATAGCAACCGATGACTGCTACAACAGTTGGTTATAAAAAACTAAAATTAAATGACGGCGATTGACTTATAAAGCAATTAGTAGAGCATGCATTGTACACTAAATGGAAAATTATTATACTTGGGTTAGATTTAATGCATTCAAAAATTTTTTCAAGCATTAAATCTGACCTTCGTATAATAATTTTCCTATAGTGTACTATGCGGAGCTCTGCTAATTGCTTATTATTTCATTTCAGGGTCTGGTATATTTATCAACATCAAATGACGTTTTTTCAAATCTAGCATTTGAAGACTGGTAAGTTCATTATTTAAGATTTTGAAAAGTGAAGTTTTGTCTTTGCAGTCTTCAATTCATTATTTGGAGTTTCAATTAGGCTAGCAATATTACTGTAGAGAAGTAGTGAGAAGATTAGCATGCACACAAACTCTTGGAAGCAGTGCTTCTAAACTAGTATTTAATTTGCTATTCTCTTGAATCACAGCTAGGTGGTATTGAAAATATAATATTATATTAAACGTAGACATTCCAACGAAGTGTAACAATCGACTTGAAAAATGAACAAGGTAATTTCATATATTGAAACAAATAATATATACGTACTTGCGATGTTTCGATCGACTGTAGAACTTCACCAGCCACTGATGGGTGCTGGTGCTAGTTGTTTTGTGATGTTACTGAAAAGCTGCCCCCCTCCCCCCCATAACCACTCTGATGGTCTGCAGAGCGGATGGCGTTACATAAGACCTAGTAACGCCTCACAAAACAACTAGCACCAACACCCGTCAGTACCTGATGAAGTTATGTAGTAGATCGAAATGTCGCAAGTACGTATATATATTATTGGTTTCAATATATGAGTTTACCTACTTCACTATTTGGCACAATGAAATATTTCTTTTGAGTTTTAACAGGAAGTTGTTATTATTAATATAAACAACTCCCTGGTTTTAGCTTGGGTATGTAGAGCTTACCTTGCCTAGCTTTACGATCCGCCACTGGTAATAATATAATAATAATGATAATAATAATAATAATAAGACCACCAAATAATATTTTTTTTATTTTCATGTTAAAGAGGCTTTGTAAATCAATTTTTACCTATTCAACTTTCTATCTTTTAGGGTACATGATAATTTGTGCCTTACACACACAAATATTCTGTTTCTATGGAGAAATAAACCAGCTGTTGTGATTGGTCGACACCAGAATCCATGGAGTGAGTGTAATATTCAAAAATTAGTTGACAACGATATACAATTGGCAAGGCGACGGAGTGGTGGAGGCACTGTATATCATGTAAGTGAAGCTGGTTCTATTCTTATTTAATTGGAGCTCTCTGGCCTTGGACTTCTCTGTCCATTTTTGCCAGGGGTTTGCTAGAGGTTCCCAGGTCCAAGTTCCCAGACAGGATCAACACTCTAAAACTAGTGGAGCTGAGGTAGTCTAATTTTAAGAATAGACACATTTACATGCATAAAAAATGGCATTTGCAGATTGTAAGATTGCTTTTTTATAGCAGTGTTTCCCAAGGAAATGATTAGTTCCTTCCATGAACGGGAGTCCTTCCTCCTCTTCCGAAATTGATACTTTTCTTAATATCAACATTCAATTGTTAATTCAAACATTAAAATATTTTTTCCTGTCAGGACCTTGGAAACTTAAATTGTACGTTCTTTACTGAAAGAAATCAATATAATCGTCGACATAACTTGGAGCTGATGGTGGCGGCGCTTAGAGCAAAATGGCCGAGCATCCAGGTTTCAATTTCTAATCGAGATGATTTGCTGCTTGATAACTTTTACAAAATATCCTTCATTTGGTTATGTGCTAAGAGAATATATGCTTTAAAATGACATGCATGCTAGCACCATTAGCTCAACCCGCCCTCGATAAACTAACGTTACGTTATCTCACTATATTAATTGGATTAACACACAAGGATAAGTACTGAGTGTTTAACACTCAGGGGCGGATTTAGGGGGGGGCCGGCCCCCCCCTTTTGGGAGGTAAAAAAAAGAAAAAAAAAGAAAAAAAAGAGAGAAAAAGAAAAAAATG